GCCACCACCACCACCACCACCACCACCGGCTTCTGGTTTGGAAGAGGATCTGCCACCCCCGGGGCAGGGAAGGATGAGTTTGCGGGGGGGCTGTTCTGGTCCTTGGGCCCCCCCACCTTCCTGATGTTCCTTCACCCCCTTCCTTCCAAAACGCACAAGCTGGTTACCAAACTCACCCTACCCCTTCAGTAAGAGGAGAAATGGGCAGTCTTGGTCAGCACCCTAAAATCTTGCCTCCCTCCAGCCTCTTTGCTAAAGGGAACGTCCTTCAGTAGATGGCAAGCAAGCTTTCGGTGGCTGACCCTCAGCCTTCAGAGGAATGGACTGCACTGGACTATGGATATGAATCACTTCAGATCACCCCTCTCATTTCTCAGGCGACATGTGTGGCTTTACGGAGTCATGGCTTGTTTCTGGCCAACTGAAGGCAAACTGAGCTCTGGGACTTAGGGTCTGGTTAGGTTCCCTGCTGGCCAACCATCTGACTTCTCAGAAACTGGGTTTGGCCTGCAGACCTTTGGGAGAGTTCCACACTGTGTCCCATGTTTGGGGGCACCCTGTAAAGCCCCCTGGAGGTGGTCCTAGACTCTGCTCTCCCCACATTACTCCAGAATTTTGGCACTTCTTTGGGAGGGGAAAACAAGCAAGGGCCAGGCTACCCACCTTTGAGTGGTGCCAAACCTCAGTCCCCGGGTGTACCCCACCTGTGCCTGCTTCTGGGTCTGGGATAGCCACCCACTTTCCAAGCAGAGACCTCTCCCCACAGCTACCACACAAGTTCTGAGCCTTTGAAACATTCAGCTGCCCCTGTTTTCCCTGATCTGTACTGGGGACAGTCGGGTCTCCCCTCTGTTAGACCACTCTGGAACCTCAGGTGAGGAACGTAACATTGCTAGCCTCAGTTTCCTCCTCTGCAAAGTGGGGCTATGAACACGGTGGTGTTCATACTATGTCACTTTTCTTCTCTTGCATAACTTCATAGCACGTACCACTTGGATATTTTTATTTAGACAAACAAGGATTCAGTTCTAGCTCTGACTACTCAGCTCCGTTCCCCTGCTTTGAGAGGACAATGCTGTTTACTTCCCAAAGAGTGGTGATGAGTATGCCATCTGAGTATTTGTTATGGGCCTGCTGTATGCCCATCTCAGAGGGTACAACAATGCCCCAGCCGCTCCTTGGGTAGAGTTGACTTGTGCCCGAAAACCTGACACATACATTAGTGTCAGGCAGTGATAAATGCTAGGCCAAAGAAGTCCAGGCAAGGGTGGGACAGAGAGTGGCAGGAGCTGACACTTCAGTTGGGACGGATATTGAGTCCTCTTTCAAAGGGTGGCATTGGAGCAGTGACTGGTATAAAGCAAGGAGCGATCGTGCACATGGAGGAGGAATATTCTAGACAGGGGAATGGCAGGAGCAAAGGCCCTCAGGCACAAGGATTTCTGTGTGCTCAGGAGATAGCAAGGAGGTTGATGGAGTCGAGATGTGCCTGTGGCCAAATTACCAGGGCTCATGGGCCAAGGTGGGTGTTCTGTTTAAATGAGGAAACAGGTGTTTGCGTCTAGCTTCTCCCTGCCCTCTCTTCCCTTGCTCCAAACAAACTAGTGGACTTTTTAGCATCATGGCCAGCAACAGTTAGTGCCCTATTGATTTTAAAAAATAGATCAACTGGTTCTTATCTGCGGGCTTGTTTTATCTATGTTCCAAATGCCTTGTGATCATTTAAAAAGTACACTCCAGAGATGTTGAGTCAGTTTTTGCAATTACCCTGTAAAAAGAAATCATGTCAGCCTTTCCTTTCCTCTGCACACACCTACCCTTCCCCCTTCCAAATTCTGTTAAGTGTGTGTCCCAGTCCTGGCAATCATGCCTGATTGCTACACACACAGAATTAGAATAGTTTCTGGTTCAGAGGGTGAAGGGCTATTGGGAGAGGTAAATAAGAAAGAAGGGAAGGAGATCTTTAACTCAAACATGAGCCCTAGGATTTGAAAAGGAAGCTTAAAATCCAACTAGGAGATGCTAGGTGATGGGGCTAGTCTCTGGTCTGTGCTTTTTGTGAAATCTCCCTGGTCACCCAAAGATGTCTTTAGGCGGGACTAAAGCCATGCAGAGGAAAGGCGCGTTGGTCAGAGATCTACTGGTAGAGAGATTTCTGATAATTTACTTGCCTCAGAACAATAGATGATCCAGTTAACAAGGAGCTTGAGCGAGGAAGAACCCACAAATAAAGTACCCTAGATACTGCTCACTGATCTCAAGTCAGAGCAGAAGCATGTCATCTGTGAGGCAGTGAGGCCTGGAGTCTGGACTAATTAGGCTCAGACTTGAATCCTGAATCTTGCTCCGCCACTCAGCCACTCTGGGGCCTCAACAAAGGTACTTAATATATCTGAGTCTCAATTTCCCCCCTGCAAACTAAGGCTAGTAACCACTCCTTCTCCATAGAATAGGGAGAGGATTAAATGCCATGAAGAGTAGTTAGTACAGTGAGCTCACAGTGCTTGCACACAGTGAACCCTGGATGTGTGGAAATGATTGTTAATTTCTGAACTGAAAGATAGGACTCCTTCATGGGTAGACACAGAACCTGCCCAAGAGTCAAGGGGGATAAAAAGTAGTCATCATGGAATATTTGCTCAACAACACATCAGATTTTGGTTTTAGTGTTATTGCAATCAGGAATGAGCTGCCCATTGGCTAGAGTTCCCTGGGGTTGCTTTATGGGGCTAGGAGAGAACAGGTCTGGGCTGCTGGGACAGCTATTATGGTTTAGAGAAAAGGGTGGAAGTGCTCGGTAGGAATAACTAGTGATAAAACTAATTTTAAACAACCCAGACCTCAGGCTGAAGTGTCCTTACTGGTTGTGTCCTTGAGCTTCCTTCTGTGCACTGGGCCTGCTTGGGTTGCTGTTGCTGTGTCTCTCAGTGAGTGCCTCTCCCTGCCCTTGTCCACCTCTCAGCCTTATCCTGGTGCACTTACCTCTCTCTCTGCCCTGCCTTAGTTCCCATTCTCTCTCCTTTTGATCGCCTTTCTTCTTCCTTCTTTCTGCCTCTGTTTTGGCTTTGGCAAGGTCCCTTTGGCCACTAAACACCACCCTTGCCCAGAAGAAAGTGATTTCTCAATCTTGTGCAATGTGAACTTGGAACCTCACAAGGGACTGGTGGAGATACAGAGAGACCGGTCCCATCCTGGCAATAGCCTGGTCTGTCCTGAGGTGGATCCTGCGAAGACCCTAACCTGAGAACTGACATCATATTCCAGAGTCAGTGAGAATAACTCTCCTCCATTACACACACACACACACACACACACACACACACACACACACACACACTCTGGTCAGCTTCTTAGTCCTGATCTCCCTGTTTCACTCCAAGGCCAGTTAGGACAGTTTGCCTGCAAGATTCCTCCACCCAATTCCCCCCTCCCAGTCAACAAAATAAATGTATTTCAAGTGAGTGGCCCTTTGAACAAGCCCCAATCTCTTGAGACATCTCCTAGAACAAATACCCAACTAAGCAAAGCCTGCTTCTTCCATTAATTTCACTCCAAATCATGCAAATATACCTCACACCTAAAGTGCTATTCTTTATACTCTAGGTTTCCCAGATCTCTCTCTCCACTAAAGCTAGGTGGATTCTCTATCACATGTATTCATTTAGTTTCGGCTGCAAATGGCATAAACTCAAACCAGTAGTGGTTCAAACAAGTTACAAGTCATTTTTTTCTTTTTTATAAAGGAGTTTGGGGAAAGATAACGAGAGACTGAATCAGAAGCTTTGTGGTCTCCCCAGGGACTCAGTTTCTTCCCTTTTCCTCTGTTGCCTTATGGTCTAAAGTGGCTGTTGGAGTTCTGGCCATTTTACCTCTATTCCAGGCAGCAGGAAAGAAGAAAGGGAAAATACATGCTGGCATGGACAATCAACCACGTCTGCAACCTTTATTGACACTTCTCTATTTTTCTTTCTTTCCTTCTGGTCATATACCCCGGCCTGTGAGACAGGCTCAGTATTCTCATAGCAAATTGTACAGATCATGCTCAGATAACTCCTTTAAATTAATTCACATTTATTACATTCCTATGACATAGCCCAGCGCCTAGCTTAGCCTTTGATACAAAGAATAAAGGAAGGTTATTTTTATCAGGATCAAGAAACACACATACTTATGATGTGAAAGATATGTGGACTTGGACTACGGAGTCCAGCATCTTACCCCACCTTCACCCTCCCCCACCCCCTGCCAGCGGAGAATATTTGAGCAGGGCTCTGGATCACATACAGAATTCTCCCCAGTAGAGAAGAGGACCTTCAGGACATAAGTAATCCTACATACAAATGCTGAAGAGGGTATAAATTCATGTACTGCTGGGCCTGGCTGGTTCTCCCTTGACTAGGATTCAAGATCCTTTGGTTGAATGAGAGAAATTATTGGCTAGTTTATCAAGAAGAAGCTGTGCATTCTGCCAGGAACTTTTTAATATAAAATCACCAAAGACCCACTCAGTAAGCTCTGAGTTGCACATTTTCTGATTTCCTTTCCCATAAGTCCTAATTCCATAGAAGTTTAATTTTTTTTTAAGATTTTATTATTTATTTGTACATACAGAACTGAGGTACAGGCCAGAGGCTCAGGAGGGGTGAGTGGCTTCACCAGAGACAGAGTGGGGAGCAGAACAGGCAGATCGATGAAGTACACTGCTGAGGGGAGCAGCGGGTGGGTCAGGAGAGGTCTGCCACTCCATGTGGTCACCTCGGGGGCAGGCGGGGATTGAACTCATGCTGAAGTGGCATTAGCTTCTCAGTGCAGTGCTTTAACCTGCTGTGCCACCAGGGAGGGCCCAGAAGTTTAATTTTAATAAGCTTCCTGAGTGATGCAGAAATGTCCAGCATAGCAGCCAGGTACCCATGTCAACAGAGGTAGGAAATGGTCCGTCTTGTTTTAGAGCTGTCCCTCTGCTGTGGTGTATAGAGGTGTGGTTGTGGGGCCAGGAATGGAGTTGGAAGACCTGACAGGAACAATGGATGTGACTCAGACAAGAGGCTCTAAGGATTGACTCTGGGCAGTGAAAGTGGATGAGAAAGGTATTCAGAGGATTATTTTGGAAGTGTAAGTGCAGAATTTGGTGGCACCGGTTTTGGTGGATTGTATTGAAAATATCGGTAACTGAGGTTTATTTGATTTTAGAAGATCTGACAGATGATGAGGCTTTTAAGCAAGCTAGGGAAATGAAGGGAAGAAGTAGACTGGGGAAATGAAGAGCTCCATTTGAGGGGCAAAAATTGGGGTGTCTGGGGCCCTCCACATTTTCCCTTGTATTACAAGATGTATGCACACACACTACACACACAAACAATTCTCCCTTGCTATATTGCAGACTCCTTTAGGGCACAGATCTGAGACTCATAATCGGTATTTGAATACCCTAAAATATAGGGTGAGGACCCTCCCTGGTGGCACAATGGGTAAGGACGCAGCACTGCAAGCTAGCTGCAGCTACTTCAGTGCAAGTTCGATCCCCACCCCAGAGGTGATGCACATGGCACAGCAGACCTCTCTTGGCCCACCCGCTGCTCTCCTCAGAAGTGTATTTCAGTCCATCCGCCTGTTTTGCATCCCACTCTGTCTCTGATAAATCCTCTCACCCTCCCCCACCTCTTGCCTGTACCCCAGCTCTTCTATGCATAAATAAATAAATATATTTTTAAAAAAGATATTATTGGGCCCTCCCTGGTGGCTCAGTGGCTTTCTGCAGCCACTGCAACACGAGTTCAATCCCTGGCCAGGGAGCCGACCCACATGGCGCAGCAGACCTCTCCTGATCTACCTGCTGCTTCCCTCAGCAGTGCATTTCAGTCAATCTTCTTATCTGCTCCCCATTCGGTCTCTGATGGAATCCTCTCTCTCACACACACAACACCCCTGCACCTCTGGCCTGTACCTGAGCTCTTGTAAGCATAAATAAATAAATGTTTTTTTTTTAAAAAAAGATATTATCCCTTTATAAAACATAACCAATCTTGACTTTTCAGTCAAACCAGCGGCAGATGTGCTGTTCTACTGCTACACTGCTCGGTTTCCCATGTAAACTTGTTTCTTAACCAATCTTGATTGTAAACTTTGTAGCACTTGGCCTATACTCTTTTGTTTCTTTGGCTTTGGAGCTATGGTTGGTTATGAAAGTTTATTTCTTTGAACATGATAAACAAATCTTAAAACCTATCAATTTCTTAATGCCTATTCATTCTACCCATCTGTCTATCTGTCCTGTTCTATATATTTTTTCCTCACCTGTTTCCGACTTTCTAGGAAAAAACTAAGCAGGTCCACAAGGGTCATATTAGAAACAATCACTCCCTGAGAGAAATGATGATTCTGGACCAAGGACAGTGATGGAATGGTGGTGGGACTCAAGGTTTAGACTTGACATTATGATTTGTATATCACAGGTGCTTCATAAACATTAAATCAAGTTGAAAATATGAATAGAAGTTAACATGCATTTTCTATCATTAGCATAAGCTTTTATATGTAAATATCACACTAGCTTCCTCAACTTTACATGCATTCATTAGCTCTTATTTTCCTTTTACCACAGGTGACAGAAAAAAATGTTGATCCTGAGACAATGCTCTTACCATATCTGAGGAAGAAGCGTATCCTTTTCTTTGCTTTGAGTTTGTACATACGTGTGTATAACTCCTATGTTGTCATCAAGTGATGTTTCCAATACCTCTTAAAATCATACTGAATCATCTTCCCTATGATTGGGGTTTTATGCTCATCTTTGACAAAGTCCTACATCTTAGTTTTGTGGGGAGTGATAACAATGACTTATCAGAAGAACCACGTGTTTTGTAATCTATGTTTTGACACTAAATATAATATACAAAATGAAGAAATAAGCAATGGGAATTAAGCACCAGATGTCAAATGGAGCTTAATTAAGCATCCTTCAGAATTAAGAGCCACAATATTGACATTCTATCTTAAAGAAGTAACCATCATGGCTATTAGAAAAGAAGAGGACACAAAATTAACCTGAAATAAAATAAAGAACATTGGAGAAATTAAATGTTACCTTAGGAAAACTTTCTAAAAATGTCATTGATGGACTGGATTCCTTCCTAGTTTCCTGTGCACTAACTCCCATGCACTTCCTGAGCTCTATCAACCCTCCTAAATTATGTGCAAAATTACAAGATTATCTGAGTGTAGACATTTTTTTTCTTCTTGGAGTGAAATTCCTTTTAAGAGTATGCAACTTAAGAAGCATTAGTGCTATCTTCGGAAGGTCATGGTCTTTGGACATAACAATGGAATCCAATTTCCTGGTTATTCTTGGTACCAATGTAATATTTAAGATTATGTTATGTTCACTCGTAGGTGACAGAAAATACCAAAGAGCAGTAAATAAGACAGAAGTTTATTTCTTTCTAACTTTGTTAGTTCAGGCTCTCGGGAAGCAGACACCAAAAGATGGGATTAAATGTGCAGTGTTTTATTAGGAAAAACACCTGAGTGAAAGAAAATAAGAAGAGAGCCAGAGAAGGAGCAAGCCTATGGATCACAATACAAGTTTAATCTAGAATTTAGAAAAGGGGAGAAGGTTGAGTGGAGGTATCTTAGATGTCCATCACATTCGCTGGGCATGGTTGACAAGGATGACCATGTTTCCCCATGGCATAGAGCCATCGAGTAGCAGCCCACCCACAAGACATGGACTTAATGACAAATGGAGTGATAGATATCAAAGTGCAGCCACTGTGGGTCTTAGTCTGTTACCCTCCCTCTTGAAGGAGATCAGTGAGGCACATTTTCATGGCCACATACTCATTGGTAGGGAGGTGGTAAAGAGCTAGTAAACCACTCCCTCCCTCTTGAAGGAGATCAGTGAGGCACATTTTCATGGCCACATACTCATTGGTAGGGAGGTGGTAAAGAGCTAGTAAACCACTATCACAACATTATCAGGGATGGAAGCCCATTTCATCTTGCTGCTCCATCCTCCTCAGCATGTAAATGTCTTCTCCTGATTAGAGATGACTGATTGAAGTTCAGACATCACATCTGAATTCTAAAAACTAGGAAGAAGTAAGTGATGAAGGGAACAGGCCCCTCCTTTTGAGTACATTTTCCTTCTGAAGGTCATGACAATGGTTATGCCTGCATTGATCAGAATTGTTAATGACTGCAACCAGCTGCAGAAGAGACTGGGAAAATGTTTTTGTTTTTGTCTTAAATTCTGGACAAGTATGTATGTAGCTAAAAATGGAGCTTTCTATACAAAGGAAGAATGAAAGAACAGATATTGGGAAACAATTACCAGGTTCTGTCACTGGGAAGCTGAGAAATATGGCAGATATAGATAATATGGCACAAATATTCCAAGAATTATTTGCAATGTGACAACATCTTTCCTCGTATATTATCAGAGGCGCAGATAATGGTGAGAACAAGAATACAATGCACTCACACTTCCAAATACTAAAACCCTTTCTTTTGTATTTTTTTTTTTGGAAAGGGAGGGAAATTACTTATAACACAAAACTAGAAGCCAAGAATTTATGTGATTCTAAGTAATAGCAGTGAATCCATACACATCATCTGATAAATATGTATTGAACTTAACCACCTGTTTAAGAATCTTTGATGGTATTGTCTCCTGAGGTCAGTTCTATTCTAGAAAGATAATTTTGAAGAACACATTATCTTTAACTATGCATTTTCCAGTCCGATTCACAGGAACAAAGTATGGCTGTGGAGGCGGGGGCTGTGGTGCCTGCACAGTGATGATATCACGATATAACCCCATCACCAAGAAGATAAGGTACCTGTAGCAAAATCCATGTGGTTGAATGTTTGCCGTGGCAAAATGTAGCAAAATCCATGTGGTTGAACTTTGTTTTATTCATCATCATTTGGTAACTATCTATTGAGCACATTTGAATGATAAATGAGACAGACAAAGATATGAATGGGGGCCCTCCCTGGTGACGCAGCAGGTTAAAGCACAGCACTAAGAAGCTAAAGCCACTTCCACATGAGTTCGATCCCTGCCTGCCCTGGAGGTGATCACATGGTGAGTCAGACCTCTCCTGGCCTATATGAATTTAGTCATAGAACTTCTCACACCTCACTGTACGTGTGTGTGAGTGTGTATGTATGTGATGACTATGCATGTGTGTCTTCTCTCTCCCCTTCGCTAGAATATGTCCTCTTCATAGGCAAGGATTTTTGTCTACCTTGTTCATCAATGCATCTGGGCACCTGGAACTCTATCTGGCACATACTAGATACTCAATAAATATAACATTTACATTTATTTATAAATGAGTAATATCCTTCAATCTTTATTTTGTGTGTGTGTTCATATGGAAGCATACCACCTATACTGTTTAAAAACCTTTATATTTTGCTTAACTTCTCATGAATATTTTTCAAAATAAGAAATACAAGTTTATGATTGTGTACATTCTGTGGTTTGGTGTGTTAAGCTGATCTACAAATAGTGGTCACTTGTTTTTTTTTTTTTAAAGATTTATTTATTTATGTCTACAGAGCTGTGGTACAGGCCAGAGGTGCAGGGGTGGTGAGAGGATTCACCAGAGACAGAGCGGAGAGCAGAACAGGCAGACTGACGAAGTACACTGCTGAGGGGAGCAGTGGGCGGGTCAGGAGAGGTCTGCCACGCCATGTGGATCACCTCCAGGGGAGGGATTGAACTCTTGCTGAAGTGGCTTTAGCTTCTTAGTGCTGTGCTTTAACCCACTGTGCCACCAGGGAAGGCTTGGTCACTTATTCTTAATGTTTCATTATTATCAATGTGGCAGTGAATGTTCATAAGTATATTTATGTCTGTTACAATTTATTCATGGCACATCTTTCAAGATAGAAGAATATATGCATCTTAAAGATTTTTATGCATTCCAGGGAAATGTCTCAGAATAGTATTATAAATTTACAATCCTATCAGCATTATATGTTCCATTTTCTCAACCTTTACTAAAAGTGGATACTATCATTTTAAAACATCTTTGTCATTTTCTTCATAAAAATGGTATTCCTTATTGCTTCATTTGAATCTTCTTAGATTACTTTCAAAGATGAGCATTAGTTTCGTCTATTTATCGATTATCATTCTGTTTGGCAAGGAAGAGATTTTAAGACTTCTGTTAAGATGGACATACTCTTGCAGTGGACTCATACGCTTGAGGTGTGCTCCCATGCCATATTTCTTTCTCTGAAGCACAAATCAGCTTCATTTTACTGCCCAGCCAATCCATGACTCAGCATTAGCCTGAATGTGCTCTAGGTAACTGGTCACTTGTGACTGGAGAGGAAAATGCCAGGCCCTCATTCAAGAGGAAATACAAAGAATAAGAGAAACTCTTCTGGAGTTAGGATTGAGAGGCTTAAATTAAATCCCGTCTCTGACACTCTAGCTGCCCAGGCCAATTACTGTGAGTTTCAGGTCCTACCTCTCTAGAATCATTGAAGGAGGAAATGCATTTGTGCCAGACCTGGGCCATCACACAAAGCCCAGCGGATGCTCAGGGAATGTTCTCCCCACTCCCACTGGATACAATGTAATTGATGCTGCTTTTGGCTTTTCAAGACATTATCCAGCCAATGCCTGTCTGACCCCCGTCTGCTCTCTGTATGGAGCTGCCGTCACCACCGTAGAAGGGATAGGAAGCACCAAGACCAGGATTCATCCGGTTCAGGTGAGGCTGTGTCTCTTCTTCCCAGGGTTTCTGGAGAAATGGGTTATGGGATACAAAAACCATGAATGCATGGATGGAGCTGGGGGTTATGCTAGCTCAAAAAAGTTGGATGGAAAAAGAAATATCAGCCAGTCTTGCCGAACAAAAGTTCAAGAAAAAGTTAAAACTAGAAGCTGACCAGACATCTTGAGGCATCGAGCAAGGGAAGAAGCAGGGGTCAAAAAGGGGGCGGGAAGGACACAAGGGATTATGGTGGTGGTTCAGGGGTGATATGGTGGCAGGAGAATTATGGGGACCACAACGAAATCAGAAGAAATGAATTAAAGGAAAAGACAGCGTTACTGTGACGAGTCCCTGCGATTAACAGAGGGGAGCAGTCTGGCCCTGCTACTTGGTTATTGTCAACAGATGAGGTTGCTCTGGGCACTGCGGGTGAAAATGGGCCATGTGGGTATTTGTGATTGACTTCTTGGAAAGATGCCTTTGGGAGATCAGAGGATTTTATCTTTATTAAAAAAACTTGACAGCACTGGCCTGTCTTCTATGTTCTAATCAGATGGGATTTGTCTCTCTTCCAAACTCAAACACAAGAGAACTACAGGCACTGAGGAATCTAATTTTGTTCATAGATCCATATATGTGTGTATAATATATCTGTGTATAATATTTGTATATACTATACTATACAAGCCTGGAATCAAACAAATATTTCGTGTATGTAGAATATGTATACATACACATATAAAAACAACATGATTTTAAATCTGAACTGAAACCTCAAGTACTAAAAATATTTGTTAAATTCGGGATTTGTTCAAAGACAAGTAATATGAGGTGTCAATAAATTTTGAGGCCTAGACAGCACCTAGTTAGAACTCTGCCTCAAGTGAGTGGGCACCTCAGACACTCTTGTTTTTATGTCAGTTAATGGGAGTCACTTACAGGGAGAGTGGATGAGAGGAAGAACAGGAACAACAGAGAAAAGAGCCAAACTTCAGAGTCTCTGGACTTAAAGGAATCTTGGGTTATGTTTATTTTTTATGATATCTCATTACTCACAGGGACTGAATTCTGCCTGTGAATCTTGTGAGTCTTTGCTGTCCCTAGATGTGAAAACACCTTTCATTAAGTAAAAGCTGCTGAACACCTGTGTTTGCAAGGAAGCCAGAACAGCTTCCAAAATGGGGTTGCGCCTTTGAAGCTGGACTTCAAAGAACAAGACTGGGGTGGTGGGGAAGTTTAGAAGAGAAAGAAAAGTAGTATTGCCCCCAGACTGTTTTCTGAGGACACTTTGGAACCCAGCACCCATGTGCCAAAGCTCAGGGCAGTAGCGGGCAGTCGGAAAGACTGGAGAAATGCTTCAAGTAGTTTTTTTCTCTTTCTGAACTCCCTTAATTTGGTTCATTTCTCTGAAGAACTTCCAGGGAATAACCATTGTCTCAGTGATTCCCATTCTGGACTATAAGATGAAACCACCTGGGAATTTTTTTAAAAACTTGTGTCTGTGCCCTGCTCCCAGAGATTCTAGTAGGTCTGGGGCACTGCTTGGGCTTTGGCAGTATTAAAGTTCCCCTGGTGGTTGGGAAGGCTGAGAACTGTTAATGAAGTACAGAGCTGGGGAGAACCAGTAGCTGCCATCCCCCAGCGAAAGAAAGAAAGACTGCTAGCTTGAGAACTTTCTGGAGCCATTTCTCTAACCTTATTGTGTCTACACAGTTGCAGATTTTTTCCAAAGGCTGGTTCTGATTTCATAGATCTGGGGTGAAACCCAAGATCTGCAGTTCTAAACTTCTGTGTTTCCAGGAAAGAATAGCCAAATGCCACGGCACCCAGTGCGGGTTCTGCACCCCAGGGATGGTGATGTCCATCTACACCCTGCTGAGGAACCATCCAGAACCCACGCTGAATCAGCTAACTGATGCCCTTGATGGTAGGGTGTGTGTGAGTGTGTGTGTTTGTGTGCGCGCGCTCATTCACACATGTGTACTTCCCCTTATGATGATGAGAGGTTATGCTGGACACCTACCACATTCCACAAACTACTAAATGCTATAAAAATGACTTCACTTGCTCTTTACAATAAATGCATTCAGATAAGCATTGTCCCCATTTCAGAGATGGGAACCTGAAGTTAAGAAAGCAGTTGGTCCAAAGTGAGTAGAGGAGTTGGTATCAAGCAAGATCCACACATTTCATGTGGCTGATGTATTTCTTATATCTTTAAGAATCTGCTCCATTTTTTATTGTTTGCTTATTTTTGTAATCATTACAAAGCTAGTTTATTTACTCTTGGAAAGAATCCAATTATCTCCATGTGCTGCCCTTTCACTCCAGTCTCCTCTGTTGGGTGGGTCCTCTCAGGACCATACTAACTATTAGAGCTCTTGAATACAAGGAATCAAGCAGATGGATATCTCTGGTGATAGGGTGATAGTATTTCAAAGAACTGTCTTTACCTAGCGCTTTTATCAAGTTCAGAAACTTGGTGTGTGGGGGTTTAAGAAAGCTCCATTAATAAGATTTTAAATAATTTTAAAAAGCAATAAATAGCGTACCTTCCAGGTCCTATTTCTGGTGAAACCCTTCATGGATCATTCTGACTTCGTGTCCTGCCTCCTGAGGACCTTATTTCTCTGCTAGAGAACATGAGTTAAAGTCCAAGTGTACAGGTCTTCTTCAAAAATAGTCCAGGGAAGACCAGAGAGACACAGAATGTAAACCACCTTCTACTTGATAGCCTTTAGGTCTTATGCATTTGATTCCATGACTGTGTATCATATAACAAGGATCAAGGGATTCTCAAATTTGTGACTGCTTATGTCTTACATGGAGTGCTTGTAAAGATTAAAGATTTCTGGTCCCCAAGCCCAGAGAGCTTATTTCCAGTGACTTTGTCTTGTAAATAAAATAAAACATTTGCAAGTGGACAGAGAATGCAGCATTTGGGCCACTGTGAAAGAAACACTAGCCTTGCATTTTATTGTGTGTTCCTAAGCTTAATAATTACCTCTCTTGCTTTATAATGCCTCTGATACCTCTATTAAATGAAAATTAGCACTTGAATGTAACTGTGGCCTAGAGACTTGGGCTTGAAATTGTTGTGTCCTTTGAGCACCTGTCATAGGATGGGATATGAATACTTCCACAGAGAGAAAGGACAAGTAGCTGAGTTGTTAATACTCTTAGTCAACTATCCCAAGTTGCTGACCAAATAATCTGACTTTAAACCTTAGTTGGAGTAAAATGTCAATTAGTGCTTACTTCTGGGGCAGGATCCTCTGTCCACCTTGCATTGGCAGGCTGAAGCTCTCTAGCTTACGTGAGTAACAGAGTTGGGTGTTCTCCTGCAGGTAACTTGTGCCGGTGCACTGGATACAGACCCATAATCGATGCCTGCAAGACTTTCTGTAAAGTAAGTAGGGAGGAACATGGCACCGAGTATGCGTTCTCCCCCATGAAATGAAACAGCCCGGGTTCTCAGGAAGGATTATGGGAACTGTTGTTACTAATTAGAGGACCGACCTGTCTCGAGGCCTGTAGTTACTGCTGTTAGATAATCTTGAGCAGAGCACTTACTTTCCTTCACCAAGAGCACAGGAGCACTTTGACACTGGCTGTGAGGCATTGTTCCAGGGGTCTTTCCTGACCTGGGTCTGGGCCGGTGCCCTGCCGCAGACCGCCTGCAGCCCTTTGTGGTATGCTTGCCCACTTGTTCTTCTTCACCAGATGTGAGATGCCAGACAGCAGAGGCTGGGCCCATGCAGGGCTGGTCACCCAGCAGAGAGGGAGCTGCTGCTCAATCAATATTGGATGAATAGCCGACAAACAACTTTGAGATGGGGAATCTAAGATTGTCCTTTAGGAGTTAAACTCTGAAATCAGTACATCAAAAATAAGAATAGAATAATGTAATGCTTATTTGTATTTATCTATTTATTGCTATGTTGCCAGATTTGCTGTAAGATATTTCATATTAATTTATTTCATAATCATTGCTGTTCAAATTTTTTCATAAGCTTAAATTTCTTTTTTAAAAAGATGTATTTATGTATGCATACAAAAACTGAGGTGTAGACCATAGGTGTCAGGAGATGAGAAGGTTCATGAAAGAGTAGGGAGCAGAACAGAAGGATTTCACTGAAATACACTGCTGAGGGGAGCAGTGGGTGGATCCGGAGAGGTCTGCTGTGCCATGTGGTCAGCTCTGTGATTGGGGATCTAACTCATGCTGCAGTGGCTGGCAATAGCTTTAGAGTGCTGAGACTTTAACCTTTGCTCCACCAGGGAGACCCAAACTTAGATTCCTTATTAGAAGTTAGTTTGGGCATGCTTTGAGTACACATGGCTCTCTTTCATAACATTTAATAATACTGATTTTTTTTAAATTACATTTCAACTTATAGTTTATTGTTTCATTTAAAACTTAGTGGAGGGGGTTTTATTTTCTACCTGAGCTCCAGCGTTCATCTCCAGTTTCAGCAATTAGCCCTGAAGACAGGTTCCCTTCTGTGTCCAGACCAGCTGCCTTTCTAGCTAAGCACCAGTTGTGAATCAATGAGCCAACGGGAGTGACATCAACAGAATGGTGAAGTAGGAGTTTTATTGGTATCTTCCCAAAGAATACCATTTTTCACAATCCACCAAAGACAAGAGTGCCTGGAGAAAAGTCTGGGAAGGCAGTAAAAAGTTCTTGTGTGCTGCTGGAATGAAAAAACAAATCCAACATTGGACATTTTGAAAAGGGTAGTTTCCCTCTCCAAGGTGTCACCCCTTATGCCAGGAGAGACTTTGTCAGCCCATGAGTTCTCCCACAGGGAACAGTGAGTGTATAAGTGAGATCTTAGCTGTCACCAGTGTGTGGTGATGGTGCCAGTGAGGCACTTTTTGCCACACTACCCAGATACTGAGGTGTGTTGTGTGACTAGGGGACAGGGAGGAGCAGGGGCAACCGCAGCTAGGGTTTATACTGGGTGACAAAGTGACACCTCACACTCTGAGGACACTAGGTCCACCTACAGGCTCCTGGGGACACTTGCATATAGACCCCTACTGGCCCATGGTGCTGCCAGCGTTCCGTCTGCATCTTCTCACACATCCCTTCCCTGCGACTGGTTTCCTGGGCCTGCCCCTGAAGATGGTGAGTACAGTTTGGCTATTAGCACTTAACAAAAGTTGCCAGACTTTCTTTGGGACAAAGAAAGCGAGAGCATTAAGCAATGGCATATGGAAGCAAGTAGGAAGCTGTCAGCACCTGGCAGGGCTTTGTGGAATGGAGGGAAGGCCTGTCATCTTAAGGAATACCGCTCTCCCCCGCCAAAGGGAACGAGTGTGGAGCAAGCATATCTAAAGGAAGGATCTGAGAAGGTCTCAGGATCCCTAGCACAGATGACAGAAGGTATTTTTTTCTCTGTAAGCTTCTTAATAAAGACTGAAGGGGATGGATGGCCTCTTCAAATGTGAAGAAAGTAATGAAAAACTTCAAAGAACATAAAAATCAAGGGAATATGATAACACCAAAGGAACACAGTAGTTTTCCAGTAACTGGCTGCAAAGAACTTGAGATCTGCCACTTTTCCTAGTAACAAATTCAAAACAGTTATTTTAAGGAAGCTCAGAGAGCAACAAGACAACACCAAGGGACAATTCAGTAAAATCAGGAAAGCAACAGCTGAACTAAACAAGAAGTTTAAGAGAAAAGTGGAAATAATTTTAAAAAGAGTCAAATAGAACTTCTGGAGCTGAACACAGTGAATGAAATCTGGGACAAGACAGGGATGCTCTAGGTCAGCACTTTTGTTTAGCACAGTACTGGAAGTTCTAGCCAACCAAGGAAAAGAAATAGGCAAGAAAAAGAAATAAGAGGTATCCAAAAAATAAAAAAAATGGTAACATCGTTTCTGTTTACAGATGACAACCATACATAAAAGTTCCTAAAGACTCCAGCAAAAGAAAAAAAAAAGTTAGAATTAATGAATTCAGTAAAGTTCAAAATCGACATCCAAAAATCAATTGCAGTTGTAGACATTTGCCAATAAAACTATCAGAAAGAGAAATTGAGAAAATAATCCCATTTACATCAAAAACAATACAATACTTAGGCATAAATTCATCCAAGTAGGTAAAAATCATAAGATAAGTGTTGACAAGGACAGAAGTAAAGAGAGCACTGTTGGTGGGTATAGGAATTAGTACAATCACTCTAGAAAACAAGAACTACCATAAAACCCAGAATTTCTACTTCTGGGAATATAACTGAAGGAGATGGAATCAGTACCTTGAAGAAATATCTGCAAACATCCATGTTCATTACAGCATTATTTATAATAACCAAGATATGGAAACAACCTAAGTGTTTGTTGACAGACATAAAAATATACATATATAGATAGATAGATAGATAGATATAGATAGATAGAGTACATCATTATCCATCCATGTGTGTGTGTACCTAGCACACAAACACACATATATATTATATATAAGTACATAAAATATTTTTCTCCCATGAGACAAAAGGAAATTCTGCCATTTGAAAAAACATGGATGAATCTACAGGGCATTATG